CACATGGAAAGTGTACAATTTTCTTTTGAAAAAAATAGCGGGTAATATTTAAAGAAAAGAGCTCTGTAGAGAAATTTGCTAGGTCTTACATATACATATGAATTAGAAAATAAAATACTTAACAAATTGAGATGTTACCACAAATGCATATCTCATACAATTATAAATTTTTCCATAATGCACTTGACTATGGCAACAGTTTTGTCCAAATATTTGTGACATATAAGCTATAAATTAGATTTTGAAATACAGAACTTGTGAACAGATTACATAGGTATACTTGATCTCTATGAAGGCACAACATTAAAAATTTATTTTAAAACTGGTATACAACTTATGCTAGTGATGCAAGTCTAACCGGTACTTCACACATGCCAACAATTTAATTCTCCAGTAATCTTATGCATAAGCCTCATTTTCACTGATCCCCTGGTAAGGAAACAGATGGTGAGAAGTTAACTAAGTAGGAAACAGAAGCAAAAAAGTAACAAAGCAACCCTGAAACCTTAGAACATATAGTTCAAAACTGCTTTTCATTACATTGTTTCAGGCTGGATTCCTAGATGCAGCCTATTCAAACGTGGGTTGATGTGCAAGTGATTTGTTAAATAAGGGCCAGGAAGAGACACTGTGTAAGTGTGGTGGGGAGGGAGGCTAAGGGGGAATCGCTGGGCAACAGCGTGGATCCATTGGAGTTCCAGCCTCAACCTTAACCCACGGAGGACATAAGGCTGCTGGACATGACCTTGTGCACATCGCAGCTGCCCCAGGGGCTTGGATATCTCATGACATGAAAAGTGAGTCTAAGATCAGGCCTTTCAAGAAAGTCGCGCGCACAGCAATTAGACAGAAGGCATCCAGGACAGGATGTGTGTGGTGCAAACACAGAAAAGGTTAAAGCTACTCAAAGTGATGTTCGTAAAGCACCCACTGGCTCTGTCCCTTCTACTACCCCTGCCAAAGAAAACAAGTCGGTGCAGAGCTCAGGAGGGAGTTCCTGAGCCAGTCTGCGAAGCCAATCTGAGCTCTGGCACTGGGGAAGCTTAATCACACAGGCTTTATGTCCATACACATGAAATAAGGAATAGCTTTATAAGGTTTGTTTTGAGGATTGAATGAATATGCATAAACTATACATCTATATATCTCTCTATACATATACACATACGTTGGGGGGACACAGAGCAAAGAGCTAGTGAGAAGTGACACTCAGGGTCTTGTCACACTGCTGGTTGGTGGCACAATCAAGACGTGAACTCAGCCTCCTGACCTCCAAGAAACTACTTCTTGCTGGATATACATACATTAACTTAAATTTTTTCAGAGTTATATATGAAATCCAGTTTATTCACTATCTCATTTGGCTTAACATTAATACACCTGGGAATATTGAGCCAGAGGTTGCCCTTAAGTTCACGAGTCACCTGTTGAAATTCAAAGAACAACACATACACGAAGCATGTTGTTACTTCTAACTTTTTATTTCTATATTTCTGAGGTGGTTGGCAAAGGTCTTAGTTAATTCATATTCAGATAGCACTCTAAATCATGATGTGTTATGTCTCTCAAGGGATATTGCATATTCAGAGAGTGAAACGGCCTTCCTTCTGCGTGTCTGTGTGGGAGTTCAAGAATCAGCAGGCAGGGGAGGAAGACAATTGTGTGTATTAGAGAGAGTGATTTTTTCCCCTCCCATATGGCTCTTCCAGGACATTTACTGATGTTACTCTGTCTTTAACTTACCCAGATCTGGTGAAGAATTAGTAAATAAAAAGAAAGGGAAACAAAAGTAGTTTTATGTGGCAATGTTTGTAAGAGAGAAATAAAAGACAGTTTCAAGTGGCACACGTGTCACACATGACATATTGATGAGGTGGTGATATAGCCTAGTGTTTGCTTATTAGGAATTTTCATTGCCACTAACAGAAACCCAAGTTGAGTTGGAAAAAGAAAGGGATGTATTGACTTACTAGTTAAGAGGAAAGGCTGAATACATTAACAACAGGCTGCAGACAGGCACACGGTTCCAGAAAGAATTCAGTAATTAAAAACTCTGCTGATATTATCTGGACTCTAATGCTTCTTCTTGTGCTGACTATTACACTCTGACCTCTTCGTGTGCTAGAAAATAGTCCTTCCCTGTGCACCCCAGTAAGAACCCGGGATTCCAGTAAGGGGTGAATAATTTCCCAGCAGTCCCCACTTCCTTGGTTCTTACCTCTCCATCTTCACCCCCTTTGACCTCTTCTTGACACTGCTTCCTGGCCTTCAGCTGCCAACTCCCATCATGCTGCGGGGCCCTGGCACTGCATTAGCGAGTCAGACACTGCTTTGGTCCCTGGGTTTTCTCAGGGTGGAATGCCTGGGAGGTGAAGACACTGTGGTCCTGCTCAGTTTGGGTGCCTCTCATGACTTGGCAGTGTCGCTGTGCTGAAAGAGCCTTCCCTATGAGGAGAAACTGTTCTCCTCAGCCATGAGGAGAGCACACAGAGGCATCCACATGGCTGGTGCTGTCTGCAATGTTTTTGTAAGTAGCACCGCGTTAGGGGCCAAGTAACCCCTGGAGGCTCTGCAACAGAGAGAGTGTACGGGCTCTTGTGTGAACAGCACACTCTGCCTGCAGTGGGCCTATGAAGCCAGGTGCCAGGAACAAGAAGAGGCAAGAAGGAAAGCGATAGGGATTTACAAAATTTCCAGCTCATTACAGATTCCACCCATCACTGTCCCCTTTTGTCTTAATTATTAGTTTATTGAGTTGCAAGTTGTTTTTGCAGAGCTGTGTCCCATTCATGTTTCAACAAGCAAGGGACCACATCTTAAATGGAATAATGAGTGTGGGAGAATTGCTCAAAAGAAATTTGCTTAAAATTGCTCTTCTCTGTGCACTGCTTTTCTCATGTACAGCTCAGCACTCTTGGACAACATAAAAAAGGCACTCCACAAATACTGAAAACTAGAACGTGGTAAACTTATATTTCATCTTAGGTAAAGAAAATTAACCTCAGTCATTAAAGGAAATGTTTATGTTTGTGGTAAGACTGAGTCACAAACACTTTCAGAGGCAATCATGACCTAGGCTTAAAGGTGCAATCTACACATTGTTAGTCTGTGGTGGAAAATTGAAAAGCAAGGGTAGGGGCCGTGTCAGCTTGCCGACTGCTATAATAAATGACCATAACTTGGAATCGCAGAAATGTATCCTCTCCCATCTTGGGAGACTTGAAGTTCTGAAATCACGGCACGGGCAAGGCCAGGCTCAAGCCAAAAGCCCCAGAAGGCAGCCCTGTCTTGCCTCGCCCAGCTTCTGCTGGCTTCAGACATTCCTTGGCTTGTAGTGGCAATGACTCACCTCTGGCTCCTTGGGCCATATCCCTCTCCTCTGTGGATGTGGCACAAAAATCTCCCTTTCCTATAAAGACACCACACATTGGCCTCTAGTTTCTATGCTGTCTTGGCAACAGCCAGCTCTCATTTGCTCGAATGGTGCCTTCCTAGGACCTGCCTCAGAGAGCTCAGTACAATCCTCAGGTTCTCCCTGACCTTATAAGACTCTCAAGGAAAATCTCCCATGCCTGAATGACTTGCTCTTGACATAGTAGCAATGCTCTTTCTTTGGAGTACTGAGTCACCCAAGTAAGTCTAGTCCCTAAGAGGGTTGAGACTAGATGTGGACGCTAAATTCTAATCGAAACTCTCGGTTATACTTCTGTGTGGTCATGGTGTGTTTGGCAACTGTGCTTGAACAATAACTGTTTTTCAGCAAAAGAGAAACTATTTTCTGCCTTTAGTGCTTATGCCCTTTTAAAGAAGAGACAAGTACAAACACAACTCTGGGCAACATTATTTCCATGATTGCGACGTCAAAAATGTACACAGCAGGGAGATACAGCTCGATTTACTAGATAGTAGGAAACAACACAGAATTTCAAAACTTGAATTCCTTGATTGTCCACTTTAGACCTCTACCAAGTATGCATGCATTCCTCCTTCGGCTGTTTAGGTTGTCCTACAAGAGAGAAAAAAAAACATGGGAAAAAATCAAAACCTAAGAGGAAATAGCTTAAAGCACATTGTCTAAATATGCATGTCTGTGTTTGATTGGTTGGGGTGAAAAAACGAAGTCATGAGGTCTTGGGCTGCTAACATCACAGAAATCTAGAAGCACACCAGGCTTCTTTAGTCAAAAACTCTTCTAAATGCCAGCCACACTGCAGCTGTGGAGGACACCTATGGGGGTTCCCTTTCATGTGGATTTGGGAATCTCTGGGCTCCTTGGGAGGGCTTAGCTCACTGTGCATTGGTTTGTGCGCTGCCGGACTCAGGCAAACAAGTGTTATGAAGGGAACTTACGAGGAGAAGAGGGAAGGACCATATTTCCGTGGTCCGTGCTTTCAATACCAGCACCATGATATTTTATCTACTTTCTAGTTTCTTTCTTGTATATCTGAGCAGTGCCACAGGACTGCAGCATTGATAATGTTTTTTCTCTCCCCAGTTCTAATAATAAAATCATTAAAATGTGATCCTTGTCTCTAAAATAAAGACATCCACTTTTGAGTTGTACATTGTATGCAGCTCACATATACAAAAAATGAACAAGGCATCATGTATTCCAGTAGGGTTGGGTAAAAATAACATTTTAAGGTAGAGAAGAGAAAGACTAAGACAGACAAGAAAATTTCTTTTTCTATGTGGAAAACAAAAGAGGTAGGAGAAGCAATGCACACTTGAAGTCTGGAAGAGAGTAGGAAAGTTTTGGAATGGCTGCTCAGCTGAATGGGTAAGGGAAACAAAAGGGAGTTAAAAAGGAAAGCAGATTAGTGAAGTCTTACGGTCTCAGAGTAAACAGTTGTCACCATTGTCAGCATCATCTTTGTTGTTTCCAGCACGAATCTTGCTCCTAACTTTTACATCATCAAGTTGCATATTCCCGGAAGCATGGGAAATTGCTGGTGGTGGTTTGGGGCATTGCATCTTCTCTCACATTTGTGTTTGTGTAGGTGGAGCCAGTGATCCACAGAGGCCACGAGAGCCTGGTACACCACATCATGCTCTATCAGTGCAGCAGCGATTTCAACGACAGAGTCCTGGACTACGGCCACGAGTGCTACCACCCGAACATGCCCGATGCCTTCTTCACCTGCGAGACCGTCGTCTTCGCCTGGGCCATTGGTGGAGAGGTGGGCAGATGATGGCTGAGGGGCAGCACAGCTGATGGCTCATGTTCTTTCACTACAGAGCTGGCTCTGAAACTTAGGAGTACTGTTCTGTACGTGGTCTGTGTCAGAGTGGCACGTTTCCGTTTATGTAGGGAAAGAGGATTCTTCTCAGTGATTAAGGACATTCCAGAAGATCAGGATGATCTTTGAGAAGGGTTGGTTTATGAACACAGGGGAGCACTCAGGGACTTTCATAAGCAACTGTCTCATGGAATTTTCCATATTTAGGGTTTTTCCTACCCACCTCATGTTGGATTATCCCTTGGCACTCCACTAGATCCTCAATATGTGCTTCTAGAAGTCCATTATGATAATCCAACATATGAGCAAGGTGAGTTCTTTCTTTATATATTTTACCTCTGGGTTTTAAAAGTTTTTTCATTCTTGTCTTTAACAGAAAGTAAACAAAAGAGAGAAGATTAGAAAGATCTGTATATCTGTCATATGAACAATGATACTTTTTAGAGTAAAAAAGGTACACATTCACAATTACACTGGGACAATAGACATTAGTCAGCCAAGCGAATGGGCACATTTGGTCACTAATCAAATGTTTTCTGTACAACCTACTGGGGAGTAAATAGACTTTTTCATTTGCTATGTAAACTGGTTCCAAACACATGACATTTATGAAATATCTTCTTTCTAACTGTACCTATGAAAAAGCTACCAATTTATCACACTAAAAAATGTTAAGCATTTTTTGTGTGTGTGGTAGGCAAGTCATAGGTATTCTCAAGAAGTACTTATTCAGTGAAATTGTATAAAGTGGTATGGAAAGGAATAGGAAGATATAAGGATATGCACTTGATTTTGGAATTTATTTATATATAATGTTCCAAAATGAGAAACTGACAAAGTCAATGTGAAATTATCAGCAGAAGCAATTCTAAGTAATTATTTTATTTCATTTTGTGCAATTATTCAGCCCTAACTATGTGCTGGTTCTATGCTTGAGGAGATCACAAAAATGAAAACCATGCTGGGCCTCACCTCATGGAAATTATAGTCCACTGGGAGAGAGAAACAATAAAAATCTCATAGCAATTAATATAAAATCATGTATATGCCAGTTATCTAAAAGACAGGCACTGGTACTATGAGAGTATTTAATTGGTGACCTAATCTAGCCGGTGATATAAGTGGGTGGTCTAGAAAGTAGACTCCAAGACTACAGGTGCAAACTCAGTTTGAATCGCGAAGAGAGTCAGTTAGTTTCAAAGTTACAGTAAGTGTCATTTCCAGGAGTGTGACTCTTGCATCTTTTATCCCCACAGTGCCCATGTGCACTGTTCACATAACAGATTCTCACTGACTGTTGTTTAAACAACTGTTTATTGAGTGAATGAGGGAATGGTTATAGACTACAAGAGAAGGTAAGCTTCAGTAATATTCTCTGACCAGCATGTGGTTTCAAGGCCAAGGGATTTATACCGCTAAGTAAATGTTACCAAACTTCACCTTAGAACAACATAAAATATACCTCTGGGGAGTTATTCTATTTAAGGAGTGACTTTAGAATTTTCACCGTCTCCATGTTAGATAATTGTGAGACACCGGCCAGATAACTCAAACATTTTCCCCATAGCATGCCATGTGCGTCTATGATGGCTGCAGACAGTGTGGTAACTCACGTTTTAATTTCTGTTTAAGAAGCTCATTATTATCTTTAATGATCTCTTCTTGTATTTCTTCTGTGATTTTTAAGGAAAAGCAACCTATCCATGGTGGGGGGGGGTGAGTGGGTACCAGGGATGGAACTTAGGTCCTTGCGCTTGGGAGGCAGGCGGTGGAACCACTGAGCTAAATCCCCGGCCCAGCAATGTATACATTTTAATGGGCTACGGTAACGTTTTTGAAACCTCAGACTCATTTTGTGATTTTGTGTTCGTGTTCCAGGCTTAATAGACAGTTCTGGGTTGAGGCTGTACCATACCGTGGATCTGAGGCAGTACGATGCTGGGATGATCCAGGCTGGCCTCTGGGTGAGCCTCTTTCACACCATCCCTCCAGGGATGCCTGAGTTCTGGTCTGAGGGTCACTGCACCCCGGAATGCCTACAAGAGGTATGCCGTGCCTGTGTTTGGGAGCCGCTCTCCACAGATTAACCCATGCCCTCAAAAACTGTGGTGTGAGAACTCTCACTTGTTTATTCCTTGCCCCTCTTCCTTTTATTGTGGGTACCTTGTGAAGCCATTACTGCAGTTTCAGCCGCACCTCTGACTGCCTTTTACAGCTTTGATGCTTGCTGCAGGAGCAGGGTTCGGGAGGCAGGAATAGCTCACAGGCTGCTTTCCTTCCCTCTCCCACCTTCTTTCTGTCACATTGGACACTTCATTTTCACGACTCCTGCCTTGGTTGGTGTAGACTCTTTCCTTTCTCTACTTTTCCTTTTATTCACATTTCTTCCATCGTTCATATTCATGATTTTCTCTGCTTCATTGCTTCCTTCCCTTCTTTCACCAAAGAGCAAGAATAAATAATGTGCGAATGCATGCTACATAAGAGAATGCCGTGCACAAGCATTGAACAATGACTACTTCCACTAAGTTTCTTATTGAATAAAAGTGTTTCAACATGAACATAGTCTTTTGGCACTAGGTAATAATGTAGGTGTGCCTAGTATCAGAGACTGGTAAAGGGGACAGTTTATGTCCTATTGTGTTATGTAGACCAGGATTCAAATTGCCGCAATGACAGAGACTAACTCCAGGACCACAAGGCTGCATTTAATTCCACTGAGCTCTCTAGCTTTCATATCTGGAAAAGGGGAGGAAACTTTCCTTTCTAGAGTTTGCATTTCCAGGTTACTAATGTGCCGGAATGTTTTTGCCAGGAGTGTCGACTAACTCTTGACTTCCTAAAAGAAGGAAAAAGAATGAGACATTTCGGCGTGGTCTCATAGATTGGCTTTCTTGTCTCCATCTAATGTTGCTTTGCCAAGAGAACATTGAACAATTCACATTCAAAATATTTGGTGGCTCAGCGCTCACTTAAGTTGCTTTGGTTTTCTTCTGACCTGTCCCTCCAAGTCTGTTTCAGTGCGGACTGTCTGAACACGCACTGGTTTGGGCTGATTGGGTCTTCCGGCTGTTCCTGCAGGCTCTGGAGGCCGAGAAGCCAAGCGGAATCCACGTGTTTGCAGTTCTTCTCCACACTCACCTTGCTGGCAGAGGCATCAGGCTGCGGCATTTTCGCAAAGGGAAGGAAATGAAGTTACTTGCTTATGATGATGATTTTGACTTCAATTTCCAAGAGTTTCAGTATCTACAGGATGAACAGACCATCTTGCCAGTATGCATGTTTTTGTTCTTTTTCACTGAATGTTATAAAAGCCATGAGCCAATCATCAGTGGAGATGTAGCAAGATTTCTACCGTGAAATAAATTACTCATTGTACCCACAATCTGACAGCCACCCACCATGGGTGTTGTGTAACTCGGAGTGAATGTGTTTGATCTGCTTTCCAAACCTGAAACTCATTTTTTCTTACTACTCCCTGGCGGCAATTCAAGTTTTTCATTTAAAAAACAATCAAAACCCTAAAACTCAGTTTCCAATCACTAAACATCATCCTTTTTAAAAAATTGTTACCCTGATTAGTGATCTTTTGACTTGCATTTACAGTAAGTGTAAAATCAAAGTTTCTTTCCACCATCTTGAAGAAATAGGAATTTCTTTACAAGTTTCATTTCAGTAAAACTGGATGAAAGTGTTCTTCTTCCATTTGACAAAGGCCTTCGGATGTAGCTAGTTATGCTCTACTCTGTGAGGCAGCTTGCAACAGTACTTGAGGTACGTGAAGGATAGGAAAGAATCTTGCACTTTACTACAACAAAACCTTTTTAAAATTTTATGATGCATTGTTTCCCTAAAGTTTTATTCCCTGGCCATCAAGTTCATAGAATTTCCTATCCCTATTTCACTCTGAAGAGACAGATGCTTATATTACTTAGGAAATGACAGTAAGAGTAATATTTTCGCTACAAAATGCTGCAAAGGGTGTTTTTAGGTGGGTAAACTATCTGGGAGAAGGCACCTCACAAGATGATGTTATGAGGAGGAGAGAGACCTGCTTTTTTCTAGTGATTATCCCTGACACCCACAGCTTTGGATTGATTGATACATTTCATACATTCTTTGGTATACTCTGAGGGTGGAAAGGTAAATGTTGAGAGAGAGTAATTTGTCAAAATTCCTAAGGGCTGATTCTCGTTCATCACATTGGTCGCAGAGCTTTCCACCCAGCTGTATGCTATCCCAGCACTTCCTAACCATCATGCCATTGCAGGGCGCAGCATGCTGAGGCACCCATCTCCGAGCCTTCGGAGTAGCAGAGCAGGGAGGAAAGTCTAGGCAGTGCCCCAGGATGGCTGCCCGTGGTTCACAGAGTTCCACCACTTACTTGGGCAAGGCCATAAAAATATCATTGTCCACTGACATTGTAATGTTTAAAAGACTGGAAAGCACTAGAACAAATAATTACTGGTCATTTGCCTCATGATTCTGTTATAAGGAAATAAAGAGCTTTAAGGAAAATGATTCTAATGAATAAACAATCACAATAACTCATACCTATGACAAACATTTCATTAAGTACTTAATCTCTACTAAGAACTGCATGTGACTTATGTTATTTAATTTCTTCACAATAGTTGTGCAAAGTAAGTGCTATTTGTATTGTTCATTTTTAGATGAACACATTGTGTTGGGCTATTCAGTTCCTTACTTGGGTTATCCAGGTAGAATCTGGTACAGTCTGGCTTCAATACAAAGCCTTCCTTGTCTGTCTCCCTGGATGCTTTTCTAGCAGACCTACCATAGTGTTAAACAGATAAAAGGTCTTATCTGAACTACTTGCTACATCTTTTCAAACAGCAAATATTAATGGCCCACAAATGTATTAGATAAGTAAGAGAGCCTTAAACTTCACCTGAAAGCTTGTACTTTTGCATTCTAGGGAGATAACCTCATTACTGAGTGTCGCTACAATACAAAGGATAGAATCGGCATGACATGGGTAAGAAAATCTTCATTATTATTAAAGTTTGTTTATGGAAAGGAAGGAAAAAGCTTTGATGTTTTAGAAGAAAATGAAGTCGAGGCTGGGAATATAGCTTAATGGTACCGTACTTGCCTGACAAGAGCAAGGTCCTGAGTTTGATTCCCCATACTGCAAAAAAAGAAAAAAAAAGATAGAACAAAAAAAGTAACAAACCTTGCCCTTTGGAAACAAAATTCCTGAAAGTCTTGAGCATGCAACATCGTAGAGGTAAAATCAGATATGTATAAGCATTTCCATCAGACTTCAAAATACCTAATGATACTATGGTAATAATTGCAGTGTAATTTATTTACTCTTTCATGATAAATTCTCTTTATTCTTTTAGTTTTCCCTCACAAATATGATAAGATGTGATCATTAACTGTCTGTTTGAGTCTCGACAGTAAATCACTGTTATTTAAAGGAAGAATGAATTACATTGAAGAGCTTCTGACCGATATGGAAGTCTGGTCCCAAAAGATTTATTGGGAATCCCTGTTGTGTGTCTAAAAAATACATATTTCATAACTTCTTCAGGCTCTTCCAAAGTACACAGAGAAAGACTACCTCCCATCACCTCCTTTTAGGAAGTTAACAGTCTTAAAACTAAAGCTTTATAAGGACAGCATGGAAGAGGCCAATTACACACACCTGATGGAAATATCTTCCAAAATATGCTGACAACATTCTACATTATATACAAGTCTAATGACAGAACCAGTCTGGGGTTAGCTAAGAAATGTAAAATTGACTTAAGTTAGAAAATTATTGATGCCCTTCAACATTCAGGGATTGAAAGGAAAAGACGTGATAGCCCAAGAGGAGCAGAAAAGGGATGCATAAAATTTAAGTCTGTCATGGAGGGAAGAAAAAGACATTTAGCAAACCGGGGAGTTGCCTTAACTAGATAGAAGTTAGCTATGAGAAAATCTGTAGCCAATATTAAATTAAATTAAATACTAGAAAGATTTCCCTGAAATCATCAAAAATACAGGGTATTTACTTTCAATGCTTCTGTTCAAGACTATTGAAAAAGGAAAACACAAAATATAAGAATCAGAAACACTGGGAGAAGCAAAACACATCATTCACAGATATTACAGTTTTATACAACTAAGCCCTCCCTGTAATTGATATGTAAAATCATCTTGAGATATTGCAATTTAAAATTATAAGTCACATGGAAATAAAAGCTAACACTAGATGTGTTTTGTCTCTGGGGGGAGAGATATAAATACTGTGAGGTATTAAAGACCAGTGAAAAATTAAGAGATGCTCTGTTCATGGATACAATGACAGTAAAATAAATGCTACTCAAACTCTATAAATTTGATATAATTCTAGTAAATAAAATTTAGAGTGATTTTATGATAGGTGCAAGCCCTAGATTTGACGCCTAATATAGCAATAAAACAAAATACATGCAAGCAAACAAGAAACAACTGAGAAACAGTGCAAATATCCATCAAAAGGAAAATAAGTAAATGCACACCAATATGTTCATATAATAAAATAGTGTACAGGTGTACAAATTATTGAACTAAAGCTACACGTATTAACATGATTTTGTCTGAAGAACATAACGCTGATTGAAAGAGCAAATTTACAGGGCTTATGTGTACTGTGACATGCAGGTGAAGCCCACGAATATCCCAAATAAAACCATACTTTGCTTAGGGATACGCACTTCAATAAACTGAGTGTAAAGTACAATGAAAAAAACATAGAAAGTTTACCAAGATATGAAGATCTCGGCCACCTTTGACCAAAGGGGAGCAGAGAAGATGAAGCTGGACACACAGGGAGAGTTGATCCCCTGCAATTGATTTTATTTTGGTTCATATAATGTTTTTCTTTTGCTTGTATGGAATAGCTCATTAGCCACACAGTAAAATCATTTATTGAGTGGGTATTTGGGGGCACCACCTTGGCACCCTCTGCCAGGCCAGCACTGTCAAAGCAGCTGCTGGGAGTACCTGTGAGCTGTGGAGAGGACAGCTCTGTGGACACCGCTGTTCCGAGGACACCGCAAGGTTCCAAGCCACACTCCCAGCGGGGAGGCAGTGACTGCGGTGCTAGCGCCGGTGTCAGCATACGAAGTCTCGATTCCCTTGCTACGCTTCGCTGCAGCTCAGTGGTCATCCCAGCTCAAAAAGAGCTGAACCAGGATAAAATCACTGAAGTGTGCTACTGACAGACGAGTCAGTTACACTTTCGTTTGTCAACCGGCTTCTCCAGTGGTTCAATCCTGCCTTGTTCGTGAAGTGCAAGGCTTTTTCCAGTTAATAGAATCCTTGCATCGTGGCTACTACATTAATCCGTAACCATGAACAATGCTACCACGGCAAGTCTTTCACCTTCATCCTTGCAACATAGATTTGCTGGGTACAGAGTTATTGAGGAACAGTTTCTTCTCCTGCAGGATTTTAATACGTAATTCCAAGATCTTTTTGTTACCTTCCTCATCTATGACGAAATCTTGGTTGTCATTTGTATCATCAGTTTCTCAAGTGTCATTTTCCCTTGCTGCTTTCAAGACTCTGCCTTTGACTTTCAGCAGTAGGATCGTGATGTGTCTGGCTATGAGTCTTACTATGCACGTTTGCATCTGTTGGGCTTCTTGAATCTCTAAGTTGATGCTTTTCACTAAAAGCTTTTCTTCCATTTCCTCTCCATTTTTTTTTTATTGGAATCATTTCTAGTGGTCAATCTTCTAGTTCAATGATTTTTTTTGTCATCTCAAATCTGCCACTGAGCTCAGCTTTTATTTATTTTTTATTGAGTTTTATCACCTCTCAGCTCTAAAATTTCTATTTTGGGGTTTGTTTTTTATTGTTTCCTTTCTCTGTTGTCATTTCCTTTTTTGCTAACTCACTTTTTAATGTATTTCCCCTTAATTATGTGAATATATTTTCTTTAATTATCTGAATGTAGTTTTTTTCTTTTTTCTTTTTTCTTTTCTTTTTTTTTTTTTTTTTGAGGCAGGATATCACTATGTAGTTGAGTCTGACCTGGAGCTCACTGTGTAGCCCAGGCTGGTCTCGAACTCCCAGGGTTCCTCCTGCCTCAGCCTCCCAAGTGCTGGGATTACAGGTGTGTGCCACCACATCCAGCTGAATGTAGTTTTATAAGCTTTTATCTTTTTTGAACCGGGGATCAAACTCAGGCCTTTTGTTTTATAAGCTTTTAAGTCTTTGCTAAATCTAGCATCTCTATTTTTCTCACAGTCTGTGTCTTCTTAATTTTTTTCTCTTTGATACAGATCATAATTTTTCATTTCTTTTTATGTCTAATAGTTTTTGGGTGAAGATTGGATATAGTAGATAATATATTGTAGATTCTGTCCTGGGATCTTTTTTGTTAAAATTTAACATATTATACAAAGTATAATATCTGCATCCTTTGTGGTATCCAACTATTGATGTAACAAGAAGACACAGAGAAAATTCAGTTTACCAAGAGAAAAAGTCTATCAGGCTGATTAACCAAACATCCTAATGACCATATGAAATATTCGTTGTGGCATGAAGCTTACAAACATCAGTAGAACTTTGAGGAGATTACTAGGTTACTTAATAAAAGCAACTTTGAAAGAGATGGAAATGATTTCTATTAACCTAAGAGTATCATCATCTTTTTGAAAGCTATCATTTAAATCACTACTTTTCAGTTTTAAGATTTAAGACATCTCAGAACTGGAAAGGAGTGTCTGCCCTTGGTGATTTTTGTGTTTCATGGTTCAGAATTGGTGGAATGTACACTTTGCTAAATAAAATACCTCCATTTTCAGGGAGGACTAAGCACCCGGAATGAAATGTGTCTCTCCCACCTGCTTTATTACCCAAGAATTAATCTCACCCGTTGTGCAAGTATTCCGGACATCATGGAACAACTTCAGTTCATCGGCGTGAAGGAGATTTACAGACCAGTCACGTGAGTGGTAAAGGACTTTGAAGTAGGGTCGCATAGTTCAGTAATGGGCTTTACTTCCATATCGAGATCTTGCCGTGTGACGGAATCATCCTGAGTGCAATTCTGTTTGATTACTTGCAACTGTAGAAGACAGGTAAGCTTCCTCATGGCTGTCCAGGGTCCCCAAGCCACGTTCAGTTTCATCAATTTGCTAAGAGGACTTAAAGGCTCAGCATCCAGGTGAACTCATGGACAATATTTATTCAATGAAAGGATACAAAGAAGAACGAACAGAAGGAAAGACACCTGGGGAAGAGTCCAGAGAGACCCAGTTGTACGTAAGCTTCCAAGAGGCCTCTGCGGAGTGACAGAATTAATTTCACCGGAACTGAGTTGTGACGTATACGAAACATTGTCTTCTACAGATTCTCACTAAAGCCGCCCTCTGTGTCCAGGTGTTGGGTGTTTTTTTTTTTTTTTTTTTGGCAGGGGGGAGGTGGAACTGGTTAAAAAGGTGCTGAGATTTGTCAAAAGTCCAGTCTCCCAGACAAAGAGCAGGTGCTTTAGAATAAACCCTAATTTGTGCAAATAGTGAGTCACACTGCCCGTTTAGGGAAAGCTCTACCGCATTACACGAAACAATGAACTATTCAAATTCCTGGACACCAACCAAGGATCACCACCTATGGCCTGCTCTGTGAACTCCGTCTGCACAATTGTGTATCATAAAAATGACAAAATAAAATAGTAGGCAAGATAAATGTTACCCCTTTCCCCCTGAAATTATATTTTAAAGTGGGGGAGTGGTAATAAGTAAACAACTTTAAAATTTTGAATAGTAATAGATGTTATAAAAGAAAAAAAAAAAACAGTGAAGGAAGTGTGCAGCTGTTGTCGAGAGGTAGTGAAGGCCTTCCAGGGAGGTGATGCTTGGGCAGAGAGCTACATGCTGAGAAGCCAGGGAGAGAGACGGACAGACACATTCCGCACCCAAGAAGAGCCGGTATTGGTGTCGGGCCCAGTGTGGGGTATGGCTGCATCAGGCTTGAGGAAGATCAAGGGGTCCACTGGCTGGAGCAGAGTGAAACGTGGCAGAGAACATGTGAGGAGGTGGGGCTGGGCCGTGGCATCAGTCCGGAGGGTCGTCTGGGCAGTGCCAGGGCAGGGTTATAAGCAAAGTCAGCCCTACGTCAACTGGGCTACTGCGTTATAGTTGGATGAGGGCAAAAAGGAAATAGTACCACCAGTCATAATTGTGGCATAATTTGTTTGAATACAAGGAAGACCTTTCTAGTAATTAGGATTTTTCAAAATGAAAGGAATTGGTGTAATTTAATGAAAATGTACACAGATTTTTTTTTTTTTTTGGAAAGTGTATTTAAGAACAGAGTAAAAATCACTTAAGGTTATGGTAAAATGCAGAAGGTTAAGGAGAATATACATATGGTCTATTTTTTCCTCCTAAATATTACAGGGATTATAATTTATGAATGAAGGACATTCTTTTTAAGTTAAATCATTCACTTCTACATACGATTTACTTTTGTATAAAAATCTGTATCTCATAAAATACAAGCAACAAAATGCTTTGTAAATCGGTTTGTAGTTTATTAAATATTTTCACATGAATGATTTCATTTAGTTTTGCACAATTTCTATAGAGCAGGACACACAATCCCAGTTTGATAGAGAGAGAAATAAAAACCAACATATTAAGAAGCCGGTCAGCATAACACAGTACAGAATAAACAGGAAAATCAGAATTCATATTCTGGTCTCTTGTGTTCCATATATGTATATATTTATATGGAATAACTTTCTGATAGTTAGGACTTTTCAAAATGAAAGGGGCTGATGCAATTAGACAAAATATTCACATATAATAAAATCTTAATAGAAATTAAAATGATACATAAAGTTAATAGCACTAGGATATAATCTTATTTTAAAATATCTGAGGTTGGGCTAGGGATTTAGCTCAGTGGTGCTGCCGCCTGCCTCAAAAGAGCAAGGACCAGAGTTTGATCTCCGTTACAAAAAAAAAAAAATATATATATATATATATATATATCTGAGGTTTATTTTATGGCATTGAGGGTGAAACCCAGGGTCCAGCACATGTTAGGGAAGTGTTCTACCACTGAGCTAACACCAGCCCCAACATAGTGATGCCATATTGCTTTTTATTTAGATGTAAGTAATTTTTTTCCTTTAAAATGTGTGTGTATGTGTGTGTGTGTATAGTACATATATATTGTTTGTTTGTTTTGTTTTGTTTTCTTGAGACAGGGTCTCACTTTGTAGTTCAGGCTGGCCCTAAACTCACTATGTAGCCCAGGCTATCCTTGAACCCATCATGATCCTCCTGCCTCTGCCTCCCAAGAGCTGAGGTTACAGGCATGCGCCACCACGCCCGGCTAGAATATTTTTTCATATTGGGTAGAAGTTTTCCCAATCATGGGTTTATTGGAGAGAATGTCTAAGAACAGACAGACATTCAGAGTTGTATGTTTCAAAAGATGTGAAATACATCCTACGGCTCACCCTTTATGTTCTGTTTGTGGGAAGCATCTCTAAAAACCCCTCCATTTCCTGGCGAGCTGTGTGGTGTCCCTAACTTAGTTTAACCCAGGAAATTCTGAAGGTGAGCTTTCATCACCTCAAAGAACAAGGAGAATTGCTTCACAGAGCAAAGCCAGTTTTGAGCCATCATTGCCCAGAAAAACTCAATTTCATGATTAAATTTATATGAATAAAAAAGAGTCTCTATTTGAAAATAACATGTTTACCCTTTAAATCAGACTTTTAAATCTAGTTCTTCATCATGGTGACATAAATAATAGTGAAGGCCAAACCAATGAGGCACTGGCTGGAAGACCAGAGAGAAATGGGTTAGGTACTTTCTAATTTTGCTTAAAATAATATTACTGCTGGGTTTTCAGGTTACAGCACTGAAAAGGAGTATCATATAATATATGGCCCCAAATCTTCTATTTTCTGCTTTAAATATCATGCTCTGTTAGAGCCACATTTTAAACATTCTGTAGCAGTCTTAGAATTTAGAGAACTAGTTGATTAAAAAATAAAGACAATAATGCCTTGTCCCATTTGTGTAGTTTGTTCTGGGCAATGTACTGTTTCTCTGTTTCCTAGGGATCTGGCTGGCATAAGGAAAAACAAACTAAAAACTCAAAAAGATCAAATAACAGAATAGAAAATGAGTTTAGGTAAGTCAAGCATTTCTCTGTGATACCACACGCGAACACGGAATCAGTATCCTGCTCTGGTGAGGCGTCTGTAATGGGAAGTTTCTGTGTTCGTAATTCTAATTCCAAAAGCAAGTGGAGAGGCATTTGTCTGCTTTTTCAGGAAAAGAAATCATTTTATGTTTTTACAGATTACAGAAGTCACACTAGTTGATTATAGAAAGTTCAGATGATGCAGAACAATTTTTTGAAAAGCATGGGAGAGGGCTGGGGATTTAGCTCCGTGGTCCTGCTGCCTGCCTTGCAAACTCAAGGTCCGGAGTTCGATCCCTGGTACGTGCCCCCCCCAAAAAAAAAAGAAAAGCGGAGGAAAGCAATTAATTCAAATATCTGAAAAAACTACTGATATTAAGTTGCTGTTATTTTGGACACCTTCTTATATTTATGAATAGCTCAAATAATAGAATGTGCATTTTCAAACCAAAACATTGAATTTTCATTTTTTAATATACCCCTCAATAGAGAAATTAAAATAAAAGTGAACATTCTGAAATTCAGGTAAGTGTTACTGGTGTTGTTTTAAACAAAAGAGATAATATTTTATAAGGAGGGCCTCAGACTTGGAGGAAATAGATCATCAGTGACACTGAGTTATTGGACTTTTCTCACAGTTTCCGCTTTAGGTCATGGAAGAGGAGAACTAAGACTTCCACACTTTCCTCCTCCCCCTTCCACACCACCAAATGCTTATTGTTGGCAGAGTAGTTTTTATATCTTTTGGGGTTTTAATTTTTACATTTAACTCTGAAGCCATAATTCCTACAATATCAATGTCACTCACACACATTCAAATAGTTTCAATGATAACCAACCCTTAATATTTATTTGATTTCTATATTTCTGAGATTTTTCATCTGAGTCATGACTTTATTCTCAAATTATTTTATCAGGAAGGCCTTCTGGGTCCTTTATGCCCCCCAATTCTTTTATGATGGAGCATTTCTGCATTTTGATTTGTACAAGATTTGGGAGTTTTATGTTCTTTCCCTGGGGTGGTATCTCTGGATGAAAATTTTCTTTAACTGCAGGACTCACAAGTACTTAAGTGACTGTACTTAAATGTCTGAATGTTTTAATGAAACATGCAGTGTCTTTTCAGTACACACCTTCACTTGCTTTTTTCGTTGCAGAGAAATTTTCATTTATCATATCTACAAAATTGTTTCTAATCTATTTGGGATTTTTCTCAAGCATTCTCTTTTTAAAATGTTTTTCTAATTTATTTGATGCAAATTTTATTTTATCTTAAATTTATTTCCTTTGCTCTGTGATATCTTTTCAGCTCAGTCTATCGTTTTATCTTGCCTTTGAGCTCTTATTTCATAGAATTCGTGTTACTAGATAAATTTAAAGTGTGAAATACTTGTTAGCATTCTCTCTAGTATAGTTTTTCTAAATTTTCATCTAGACTCAGATTTTCCCTGTATCTTTACAAACAATATCATATAATCTTTTCATTCCATCTCTCCGTGTTCTCTCATTTCTTTCGTGTGCTGAAGTACTTCCGTCCACAACTTCTTCTAAACGTATCTGAGCCGTTTCCTTTCTTTCCACAGCACAACTTGAAGTCTGGGTGACATTTTATGCACACGTGTCTTTGCATTTTGAGAGTACAGGTCATGGGTTAGGGGCGGGATTGCATTCTCCACGTCAGACTTGTGGGTTGTCCCTTCCTCCTGTTTTATCAACATCGAGGGCGGAGTCACTTTCCTGGGAGAAGGACGCTGGGACGCCCTATCCACCCTCCAGTCAGGG